CCATTAGCAACACCGCAGCTAGCAGTATACCATTAGCAACACCGCAGCTAGCAGTATACCATGTCCAAAGCAATGTTCCAGCGAGACAAGTAGCACATCACAAACATTTGTGCTGTTGGTTCAGGACAATGCATTTTGTTTACTTAGCTGCAGATTATCTGAATCAACAAGCAGGGTTAGACAATCCCCGCAGCAATTGAAGGTTTAGGGCCTTGCTCAAGGGCCCAGTGGTGAAATTATAGATGCTGGCATTTGAGCACAGGCAGAGCAAGGACAAAAGATCTAGAAACACACGTGTAGACATGGAAATATGTAGTACAGACAGTCACAAAGTTACAAACGAGTTCCCTTCCCTAAGTTTGTCTTTAAGTCAAATTTTAGGTAAGTTGGAAAAATAATAATACAGTACATAGTAACGTTAATAATTATTCAGTAATAATAGAAGTAACTATACACAGTACTGTTCTGTACCCCGAGCTGATGGACCACTGAAGCCACGCAATTTTTTCCGAAGGGTCACAAAGTATTTTGTGTGTTCATTATCACGAACCATTGTATTTATCCAGAAATTTTAATATAATAGGCTTTCTGGCAGTCCGTTCATAACTATGAGTTGTCCCTAAGTCTGATGTTCTTGACCCAGGAACTGCCTGTATAGAAGATGAATGAGACCACAAACACATGTGCGATATTTGTGTCGCGGTGCAAAGTATCAATTAGGTGCGAATGGCAGAACGATATATGTTTCTATCCATGAATCCTACCTCAGTCACAAAGAGGAGGTCGGACTTGGTGTGGGACCGAGAATAATCAGGGGCCTGATTAAGTGAATGTTAAGCATGGAGGAAGTGTGATGATTGCCTCTTCAGGTAACGATCACAGCTAGGTCATGTGACCTGGGCCATGACGTTATCAGCATTAAGGTGGAAGAGAAGTGCCTGAAAGAGGGAGTCAGTGAATGGCTGAGGAGGTGAACGATAGCAGCGAGAAGTGTGTGAACTGCCAGGAAGCCCGAAACATGGCCAGACGGGTTTGAGGCAAACAGCCAAACACATTGGCGTCCCCGAGGACGGGGGTGGATTTTTTACAGACTACAGTAAGGTCAGGCCAGGGAGGGTCTGGGAGACTGAGTGGGAATGTGTATGACATTCAGTCAGTTACCCACACAAAGGAAGGCTCCTTCTAAGGAGCAACTGGAATAAGATCGTGATCCATGAGGGTCCTGGGGTCTGTGGTCTTTCAAAGGACGTGCAGGGACAGCTTATAGGTTTTGGACAAGAGGAGAGATTAACTAAATAAGGAGGAGATAAAGGAACCGAGGTAAAAGATTAAGGATTTGAAAGAGACTCAGAAGTTTTGGTAAGAACCTTTCTGCCTCAGTAGCGGTGAAACTTCAATTAGCATACAATGAAGTACTTATATTAGATGGCAGAACAGCATAATTTTTTTTGATTGGATATAATAATGAATGAAATCCCTTTACGTGCCAGGGAGTATTGGCGACCGGAATGGACACCTTTTGAAGTTGAAAGTTTTTCTTAAGAGAGTAGCCCAATTACAACTTCTTGACAAACTTCTTTATGAGTCATTCGTTTTTTTCTCATTCATCTCTGTGCAAGATTGTTTTGTGCTGCCTGCAACTTAAAAAAGGCAAAAAGACATAAAAGTAGATGGATATATATTTTTGGTGACTGATTTGTTTGATTTGTGTAAACATTGTATCTGCCAGATGTAGGTATGGTCTCCTAATACTTACAAATGAAAAGAGAGCAACTTGGCTTTGTAAGAAGGAGAAACTCAGAAGCAACTGAAGTTTACAATAGAATAGTGATTCTTTATTTATTCCTGTGGGGAATCTTTTCACCTGTCCCGTCTTGCTCTCCATGAGACAGGTGAGAGCAAGTTTGGGGGTTGGATGGCGTCTAGTGCCCCCTGGAGAAATTGGGAGTAAGGGCCATGGTAGTGGTATGTGGCTCAGTGATTTAAGATACTGTGACCGTGAAAGGAAGGTTAGCAGTGTAAATCCCAAGGTCAGCAAAGTGATTTCACCATTGGGCCCGTAACCCCAATTGCTCTGACTGTCTGACCCTGACGTAAATCCCATGTCACTTTTCATCAGCTAAATAACTCGAATGTAATGAAAAAAAGTCTGAAAAACAGACAGCAGTGAAAATCCTTCATTGTTGTGTGAAGTACTGCTTCTCGCTGATTGGGATGCGGGATGGACTGAAGGCAGCAGGGAACAGGATTGAGCTCAGAAAAGCGGCTGCTTATTCACCTCAATAATGGTCCCAAAATCCTTCAGTATGACACCTCTGCAGCCACCAGGATATTCACATGCATCCAGCTCTTCACACAGCAGAGCGGCTTCTCCCACTGCTGTGACTGATGTACATTGTGTCGCTTTCAAAGTAAACATCCGTCTGCGTGTCACGCCCCAAATGATGAGTAATTCCAGTGTTACGCCCCGAATGAAGAGTGATTCCAGTGTCACGCCCCAAATGAAGAGTGATTCCAGTGTCACGCCCCAAATGATGAGTGATTCCAGTGTCACGCCCCAAATGATGAGTGATCCCAGTGTCACGCCTGATGCATAATGCAAGACTCTGTATTGACTCCACATCTCTTTCTTTCTATCCCTCTCTCTTTCTCTCTATCTTCTTCCTTCTTTCCCTCCCCTTCTCCAGGATCACTGCTACTATCACGGACTTGTCGTGGGACATGCAGACTCCTGGGTAGCGCTGAGCGTCTGTTCTGGAGTCAGGTACGTAGGGCCCCCTCGGGTGGGTTTTTCGTCGTGATTCCTGTCTAATCACAGGGAGCGTCTTTGGAATCTGCCGGAATACAGCCGAGCAGCAGAGCCCCTCACCTTCACAGATCCTAGGCATCCTTCCGACATACTGAAGAAAATAACTGGCAAAACAATAAAGGAAATCATCAAAAAACATGCCGATTTTTCAGCCAGGGCCAATTCTAGAATTTTCTAAGGTGGTGGGAGGTCATAAAAAGAGCCATAATTCAGATAGAGGGGCCAAAATTATTATTTGCCAATGATATGTTTGGAATTGTTGAGTGACAGTGGAGGGGGCACTACAAGGGCCAATCAGCTTTCAGCTAGCGCCCCTCCCTCTGTGAGCCCGCCCCTCCCTCTGTGAGCCCGCCCCTGTATACACCCCTGCTTTGATCGGATATAATAACGCCTACATATGGTCAATAATCAAACGTAACTGGGATAACTGCTCGGCCTTTGATCACTCTTCCGTTGGCCAGCCAATAAGCGAGGCCTTGTCGGCATCATTCAAGCTCCGACTTGAGCTCTGAAACTCCAGCCCCGATGACTAAAATGGAGAGCAGGCCAAGGGACCCCAAGCGTGCAACTGCGAGAGCAGATGTCCAATCGCAGCCCGGGCCAGTGAACAGCTGTCTGCCGAGCGGCAGGAGACGTGGATGCAAGTGGCCTAAGTTATTATCCTGCCGGACGAGTGAAATCATCAGCCGACAGCTGAACGCCAATCTGCAGAAAACAACTCCGCTTCACTCTTCAGGCTCAGTGTTTGGTCGTTGCGGTGTTTCAGAGCCGCCCCGGTATTTTACTGCGGGATCTATCTAATCAAAGCCCCCGCTGGGCCGTTGTGCATTTTCGGCAACATGGGTGGTGTTTTAACGCGAGGTGGCAGCTCTGATTGTGCTGTCTGTCACCCAGTGCTCCTCACAGATCAGCAAATGTTTGGTATACTGCGGATCACGGGGTGCCGTGACGGGAGGGAGGCTGAGGGAGCGCAATTTCGGAGAATTAGATCTAGAAAAGCGCGCAGCATGAATCGAAATTACTAGTAATACCTTTGCTTAAAGGATTGAGGACTCCAGAGTGCAAGTCTAAGCAGGATGGACAAACTAGCCTGTCGGCGAGTTCCTATAACTTTATTTAAGGTAGCTAGCTGTGTACGGTGAGCCTTTGCAGAATGCGTATAGAATGTCTTCCATAATGAGTTGGATATTGAAGTGTAATTCTTGTAGATGTAACCTGACAACCATGTAGAAATTTTTATGGAAAGTGTTTTTTTTTGTTTAAATAAAAAAGCCTAATATTTTTACACATTTGAGGAAAATGGAAGATTTATTAAATTCAAACATCCTCGAAAACGAAGCAGCGTGATGCGAATTACAAGTTCCCTCCAAGCAACAATTTTTTTTTTTACAACTTTATGTCAACGGCTTTATGGAAATGTAAAAATTTATGGGTGAAAATGTCGACGTTCCCCATCACTCGAGCTTGCCGGAACATCACAAACTCAATCCCTCTTTATTAAAAGCTCTCCGAACGGCCAGCTCAGCGAATCTCAGCACGTAACGTTTTTACGATTCCTCTCAGAGGGGCTTCTACTTAATAACGGTCGGATGTGCGCATATTTCTTTGTGTTTGGCCGCTGGCTTGTGCCGACCAGCACTTACAAACCGAAAATGGCCAGTTTCTTTTCACTGAATCGGTGTTGTGCGAGTAACAGTTTCCTACTGACGTGATACTGTACATAAGGTCAGGCGGAAAGGAGAGAAATACAATAGCGGTGAGATAGCAGGAGCGGAATTAATCTGAGGAGCCTATGATATAAACTGATATGCTGGTATGAAGAGAACAATAGAGCATCTAGATCTGACATTTTCGGTCAGGGTGGCAAAGAAGCGCTTTAATCTCATGCCAGACAGGGAACGGCTGATTAATGTAAATTGAGGCTATAGTCTGGCCTCTTAACTATTGATCTTCAACAAATGGGGAACTGTTTATTGGTCAAAGAATGTTGCCAGCCAAGGGCGATATTGCGGGAGTATCATGTGTATTTATGGGGGTGGGGGGTATGGGCTGTTTTGGAGCCTACCAATGCTGAAATCAAACCTATGCTCTTGCAGAACACTCTGTGAGCAATACGGGTGAACATGTTACTTTTTGTGGTGCGCATTACATTCGGCCAGTTAGAATTATAATCCTTAAATTGGTTCTATCAGGTCTCTCCTTTACATTTATTCATTAAAAATGACATATGTTTTGAGAAAGCAGCGTCAGACAGTCCCTAGGAATTAAGGGTACAACAATGAAGTCACTTTGATGGGCAAGGGACTTGAACCAATGACTTTGTGGTCACAGATATAGCATCCTAACCCACTCAGCCACACACTTTGTACCACGTGTCTCCTTGGTTCTTGGCCTGGTATCTAAACAGGAGGTGCTGTTTCCATGCAGTGCCAGTGGTGTATTGGATCGCATCTCTGTCACCTCCAGTGCCGCACCATTTATCGTCAGTGAAGTCTTCCATGTTACAGCTGAAATCATTGTTGGGGCTTATAATCCCCCTTATATTTCTGCCATATCTCAGCCCATTGTGATACTGCGGAGGCACTTACACACAGGAACTGAGCACGTCAGCACTCAAATCTAGGTCTTCATCCCGTAGCTATCTCTAGCTGGAAAATAGCACTGCCCCTCTGCTTTGTTGTGTGAAAGATTCTCTATTGTCTGCGCAATATTGTCTGTGCAGTATTGTCTGCGCAGTATTGTCTGTGCAATTCTCAGGAAGTGCAGTGCTGTTTAAAAAATAAATAACGTTTTAATATTGTTCATTGGTTATGGATAATTTCCGCCGATGAGTGGTCAGTCCTGATGCCGATTGTGCAGCAGCTACAGGAGGTGGTGCTAGCAGGCTGCAGTCAGGTATTATTCTCATGGAGAGCAGTAGCAAGGTCGTCCTGCAGCGCTCGCCAGTGCCTCTCCACACCTGGCAGGCCGGTGCAGGCCGGCCAGCCTCCGCAAGCTGCCCATCTGACTCGTGGCTGCTTTTCACGTCATGGAACTTCTGCTCCCTGTGTTTTTTCATTAAGAAAAAAAGTCATTTCAAAGGTCACAGGCTCTCCTGATTGAGCGGCAGGATGGGGGGGGGGAGGGTGGAGAGGTGACAGATGGACATCCCCAGAAAGTGAAGGGGAGAAGATGCTGGAATTTATATTATAGGGAGATAAGCCCTGAATGTCGGGGAGGGAAGCAGCCGTGATAGAGGGGAGAGTGTGGAGGGTGTGGGGAAGATGATTAGTGAAGCATGCAGGAGTGGGAAAGGGAGGTAGAGAGCATGGCTGCAGGGGAGAATGAGCTGACTGCTGTCTTCCCTGCATGATGGAGGGTCGGAAGAAGTATGTCAGACACTTTCATCCTGGCCATCAATAAGAATGGGCCGCTATGTGCCTCTAGGGGTTAGATCTCCTGGCCTGTGATCGAAAGGACACTAGTTCAAATCCCAGGGTCGGATAATTAGTAATGTCACCTTTGGGCCCTTGAGCAAGAGCCTTAACCCTAACCCCTCCAGGGACTGGCTGACCTTGCTCTCTCAATTGTACGTCGCTTTGGATAAATGCACCTAGTAAGTAAGTGAAGAGTGCTGACAGGGGTGGTATGGACCGGCTGTGCTGACCCTCAAACAAAGGGATGTGATGTGGATCGATGCCCCAAGGCGTTAGATGGGACAGCGAGCTGAGCATGGGGCCCTAGACTCCGGGCCCTTTAAGGCAGGAACTGGCTGATGTGATTTTCTCATTCACCTCCCTGGGATCAGAACCCTTCAACTCCGGCCAAATTCCTTCCCATCTCCAAATCGGCCCTTATCTGCTCCTCCAGAAGGAGCCATGGCTTTCTGCTCTCTTAAACTCCGCCGGACTCCTGGGGGGCTGTCTCAGCGGGGGGGCAGCCTTTCTTATTCACTCAGGAGGGATTAATTGACTGTTTTGATTCCCCATTACATCAATGTCATTCCAATCAATGCCAAGGAAAAGAAAAATTACATTTACATTTTTCAAGGCACCCACTTCTCTGGCATTGAGGTAATTGGTCCTTGGCAGAAACAAAGGGATTGTTCCTCCCCGAGAACTCGGCATGACTTGCGGCGTGACGCACAAAGGCGCCGTAAGTGCCACCGGGCTATTCTGCCTCCATCAGGAGGACGAGTGCGTGACGATGGCGGCTTTCGGAGCGGCGGCTTTCGGAGCGGCGGCTTTCGGAGCGGCGGCTTTCGGAGCGGCGGCTTTCGGAGCGGCGGCTTTCGGAGCGGCTCAGTCTCGCGCGGAGGTCACTGTTTCCCTCCTTTCAGTGTCACACTTCCATTCCATCACACCATCGTCTGTATTGAAATGGGGGCATTTGGTGCGATTAAAACAAAATAATCCATGACAGGTATCCTTTATGTAGAAGAAAATGGAATAATGCTTTATTTGTACAAACACATTGGAATGCATACCCCAACAGGCTCTCCTTCCAGACACACACACAGGTATGTGTATATATACAGGGACTGACATAATTGGTACGCAAGTAGGCATTCACCTTTAAAAGTGCATCAGTGTAACAGTGCAAATACGTACGTATTTTATGTACATATGCGCCGATATGACAAGGAATTTTTATAAGTTTGGGGTCTGGGGGTACGGTCAGGGTATGGTCAGTCAGTTATTCAATGTCCCTGGAGGGGAGGGTTATGAGCCTTGCTGACCAAACAGAAACAACTGAATATTTACCAATGATGGGACTCAAGCCAGCAACCTTCTGATCCAAGGCACCAAATGCCTGTGATTATTGCATTTATCTGACTCTCATATTCAAAGGGTTAGGATTTGCATGTTTTTTTTTTAATCCATGACCTTTGAAAATAGAATGCACGAATTTGCCAGTTTGTTTCCGCCATTCCTATAACAATCATTCTCTGCACTTCTTGTTCTGAAGTCCTCAATGCCCCTTGCCCTCATGATGCTAAAGCGACACTCGGAATCTGGTAATTGAATAAACATGGCCTTCAGCAGTCCGGAAAATTCTGGAGCGATTACAGGGGGAAGGGGAAGCTCCATTCGCCACACTTGATGTAAACTAACCTAAGCACCGAAGCTGAAGACGTCGCTGGATTGTAAGCATGTAAGCCAATGAAATTTAGCCGATGAAAGCGGTCTGTGGTTCAGCTGGTTTGGCCGCCGTGTCTCTAACGGAAGGTCACTGGTTCAAAACTCAACATCAGCAGAGTGATGTTGCCCCCGGACCCTAGTGTGTGGCCCCTCGCCACCCACTGAGTGCTTTCTAAATTGTACGTTGTCTTAGATAAAAGCGTCTACTAAATAAATTAAATGTAAATATGAGTGGAAAAGGATTAAAGAGGAGAATGTCCCGCTTTTCAACCCGGAAAGCGAAAGGAGTGACTGGCGGTGTATATCCTGCGGGGCCCCGTGTCTGTGCTCGGCGCGGGGCCATGCGGTGTGTGTGATTACAGAGTTCACTCCCACAATTAAAGCTCAGTTAAGGCAAAGAATAACCATCGGCGGCCAATTAGCAGCAGCAGAAGTGGAGCGGGGAGCCGGAGCCGGTTATAATTCTTCACCGTGAGGGGTGTGGGCTGTAGTGTTAACTTCCCTAATGACATGGCAAGGGCCAGCTGAGCTTTCCTGTCATCCAGGCCACTTGATCCTGACCGGTTTGGCCTCGTTACTTGGTGTGATACGCGCCAACCAATCACGGCCTGATTATAAACGATTGGTTCCAACACCCACCCCCCTGCCTTCTCTGGCTTGGTCTAGCCCACTCGCTTCTGGCATGCCTTGGTCCACACCATGCCAACCACTCCTGACCTCCTTAGTTTCGGTCCAAGTCGGCCACTGGTGGATTTTCTTTATTGCGGCCCCAGTCTGCATTAATGACCTGGTACTAAGGCTCAGGTACGGAATGCCAGTATCCAGGGAGAGACTGTGACCTCTTAGGACCTCCTAGGAGTTATGATACAAGCAGGTCTCCTACCTACACTTGTGAAAATACTGACAGACTTTTATGATTATCAAGCTACCGTAGGAGTAGAGAGATAAGAAGGTGCTTTTAAAAGAAGTAATTATGGAGCTGGAGACAGTACATGATAAAATGTCACTTTGCTGGACAGTCTTATCCCTTGCCTTGTAATTGTGTCCATTTACCATTGCACTCTCTGTGTTGCAGGGGACTGATTGTTTTGAACATGAATGACAGCTACTACCTTGAACCAATCAGAGGGCTGGACTCTCGTCATCACGTGATCTATCACACGAAGCATCTGGAAATGCAGGGCGGCTCCTGTGGACACGGGCAGCAGACTGGACATTCGGGGCTCTTTCCCAGCTTCCTTAAACCTTTGCATCAAAGGGTGAGCGTAGATTCAGCACAGTCGCTACCTGCATACTAAACAGCACAGCTAACTGTCCTGAAAGCTATCATTTAAGATAGCTGGGCTCTCACCTCAAAGGTCAATTTTTTCTAATAACTATTTTGTCTTCCTAAATATCTAAATGTAGATTGTAGGTTTTCATCATTCAAATTAATATTAGTAGATTAAATAGGTTTATAAATAATCTTTATATATATTTCAGGCAAATTCTAGTTAACTCAGTGATTGAATTTTAATGTAATGTTCTATGGAGCGGAGAATTTGGAATTTTTTTTGGCGAAATGCATACATAAAATATATGATTGTAGGCTGTTAGGAATTTCCGGAGTATCTTGTACATTTGGACGGGAGGATAAGACCTCAGATTCCGCTGTGGCTGTTGCTCATTCCCAGTCTCGGTCGGAAAGAGGACGTGGCCTACTTGCTCGCTTTCAAATTGCACGTTGGATTAATAGTGATTTTTTTTTAGCACACACTAACCACGCAGCATGTGTGGCACTGACTGCGGGGGCGGCCGGTCGCTTCACTGGGGCGGGGGCGGGGGCGGGGGGGTCTGTCATTAAAGGGTGTCCAATGTAAAGAGCCTCTTGTTAGCCATGTGGGCTTAACTGGTGTTGAAGGCTTCACCAGGAATGATCAGGCATTAAGCACCCTTACCAACCCCCACCCCAAACAGCAGGTTGTTAACTCTCAGCTACCTCAATGAAAAGCTTTCCCAGCCCTGTAAACAAACACCCGGAGGGTGGGGGCCGGTAACGGCGAAGCCGGGGGGCCGGGGTGCTCACACTGCATTCCTTTCATCAGTTTGGCCTGGCTGCGGTCGATAACGCTTCATTTAGCGTGCCGTCCTTCACAGGAGGACAGATCTCGGCTCAGGTCACGAGGCGGCGGTACGATCAGCCAGCACGCAGTGCGAGTAATGAAAACACAAAATGGCCTTTATGGCATTACAAGGATTCTGAAATGGATACAGACAAAAGGGCCGTGAGAGCGGAACGTCACCATGCTGACAGAACATGGTGACTTAAATAAAATCATAATAATGTCATGCGTATGGCTATGTGCGTGCCCTTATATGTACCTACTGGAACCTTTTCCCAGATACTTTTGGTTCCTAGGTCAGCCGCATAAATAATACCTGTGATAGGACGAGCAGGTATATAAGATGGATGATGGATGGATGGATGGATATAAATGAGACCCCTCATGTGCCAAGTTGAATGGTGGCGGCCATCTTGTTTTCTAGCCATTTTCAACACCCTTTCTTACTTCCTCCTTATCTCTCTCTCTGCAGGTGAGACGAAACGTCTGGGGCACGAAGTATATGGAACTTTACATTGTGGCAGACAACATGCTGGTAAGCGAGCTTTGGCCACCTGTGGGCAGCGACGAGGTTTACCACCGTTCGGCCGCGTGTGGGGCATGGGGGGCCCTGTTGGCCACTCACGGTCTCTACACTAGGGAAACAACAAACCTATGTTCCATTAATGGGGTCTTTTAATGAAGCCATTTATTGAGAGCTTTATTCTAGGGTCCAGTGGCAGAACCACTCCTGAGATTTCCACCAATGGCTCTTTGGTTAAAAGACACATCCCTAGCTGCCAGACAGGCCCGCCTGCCCACTCCATCTCACGGGATTTATCCACTGCCGGCAAAAGTCCTCGAGAGGACAACTCAGAGATTAGCTGGCGATATTTAGCTCTCCTGGTTCACAGACACTCCAGATAATTCCCAGAGGCCTGCTGAAGCCCACCGGAGGATGTTTCAACACGCAGCCAGTGAATCACGCTGCAGGAAACAGACCCACATGGGATGCCTTCAACTTCCTGTTTTGCCACCTCGCGCTCGACTTCCGTCCAGCCGCGGCCGCGGCCTTCTCGGTCGTAACAGGAAACATTTAATCGCGGGAATTATTGGCCTGTATCTGTGAATCCTTCATTTTCGCATGTAGTAAAATTTCCAAACACTACTTTTCAGCTCATTTGTAGCAGGGTTTATTTAGTATCTGCATTTTGGGGTTTTCTGGGCATTTCTTGGCACTGATAGTGCTGGATTTGTAGCAGCAATATTGCTGTGAGTCATTTAATGTTTATAATTTAATACAGTGGAAGTCGCTTTGTGTTGTTATATTCATTTTACTTTATATATTTCATAGCTGAATTGTCAGTTTATTTCCCAGGATTGCAGCCTCTCAGGTTTCACTTCCCATTTATGGGATTAGGGGAGCGCTAGGTAGTCATAGGTTCGAGACCCGTCCCCGGCTGCGTGCGTGTGCAGTCTGTGTGTCGAACCAGGTGCTCGTCATAGGTTCGAGACCCGCCCCCGGCTGCGTGCGTGTGCAGTCTGTGTGTCGAACCAGGTGCTCGTCATAGGTTCGAGACCCGCCCCCGGCTGCGTGCGTGTGCAGTCTGTGTGTCGAACCAGGTGCTCGTCATAGGTTCGAGA